GGCAGGAGGGAGACACACACTTGACGGGCTGGCAGGCAGGGCCTCTGGGGTCTTTCTGCCTGATGGGGACTCATACCAGACTGAGCTCCATGCAGCTGTGCTGAGGGTCACTGGGAGCTATACCCACAGCACACAAAGCAGTGCCACATACCCGACACAAGTGCAGTAGCACGGGCTTTTGTTTTTGTGGGCTCAGCCAACTCCTATCCTTTCCTGGGCTCCCAAATGTGTACTCCGGGTTGGGGGGCTCCCCAGAGGCATTTCCACAGGCCTAGAGTGCCACTGTCCACCAGACCATTCCATCATGGCAGTGGGAATGCCCTCTCCCTATGTCACCCAGGGCAACCAAGAAGGGGAGTTTCATTTATCCACCCTGAACATTTTAATCTTTCTTGCATTTAAATTGCATTTTGAAATAGTTTTCACAGTATGTATTGTGACATCTTGAGCTTCTAGAGAGGACCAGTAATGCCAGGAGTCCTAAAGTGGCGATGAAAATTGATGCAGAGTGTGGGACTTAGGACCCCTTCCCCAAGCTCCTCAGACCCCTCCATCTTAATCTGAAGTATAGGTCAGAATTTCATGTCTGAAAACCATGCTCCTGGCAAAACGACAGCCATAACATGTATGTACACGGACTATAGATAATGTTTCCGGGCTCTGATTACAACATTATCTTTTATTTCTTTTCTCTTTTTTTTGAGTCAGTCACACTGTCACCCAGGCTGGAGTGCAGTGTCACACTCATGGCTACCACAGTATTGACCTGCTGGGCTCAGGCGATCCTTCCGCCTCAGCCTTCCAAGTAGCTGGAATGAGGGGTGCACCACCACACCCAGCTAATTTTTTTAGTAGAGATGAAGTCTCGCTGTGTTGCCCAGGCTGGTCTCAAACCCCTGAGCTCAGGCAATCCTTGCACCTCTACCTCCCAAAGTGCTGGTATTACAGGCATGAGCCACTGTGCCCGGGTTATTTCTTTCTTTTTTTTTTTTTGAGTAGGAGTCTCACTCTGTCATCCAGACTGG